GACTTCCCCTCCGGCGACCTCGCGGCCTCTCGTCCTGTTCCGGCCGCCCTGGCCCTCTCCTGTCTCCAGCGCTTGCCACTCCCTCTGCCTGACCCTCTTCCCCCATTTCCGGCCCGTTCGGCTTTTTCTTGTCACCCCGTGTTGAGCCAACACGGCCCTCTTTCGAAGACATCTCCCCTAGTCGCTCTGTGGAGAAGGCCGCCCCCTCCTCCCGCCCCCTGCAGTCCCTCTACCCCGGTTCATGGATCGGGAAAAATATCCAAAGTTATTTTTCACTCGCTTTTTGAGCATTTGTCCACCCCGAGAGAGCGCAGGCTCCGAGAGCAGGAGTCCTCTCTGTCCCGATCGTTGCTGATTCCACAGCGCCTGGAACAGCACCAGGCACCTCGGAGGTGCTCAATAAACAGTTCAGTGAGAGACTAAGTGCCTTTTTGGCTCGCGGGGACTGCTAGTGATGCCCCCCCCGTCACCGCCCCGGGCACCGCGGCCCCCGGCCTGGGTCTGGGGGAGGCAGGGCCCAACGTGTGACGCTGTGCTTACAGACGGAGTCCTTCAAGCTGAGCCAGCCCTACAGCCAGTGCACGGAGGACGGGAGTGATGTCCCGGTCCAAAACATCTACAACGCTGCCTACTCCCTCCAGGTAAGCGCTGGCGGGGACAGCCAGGCCTGGGCTGCGGCCTGGACCCAGGGGACAAGGCTACACACAGGCCGGGGTGTGTCTGGGACCAGGAACTCCGGAGAGGGTTCTTGGGGTTCGTCCAGACACCTCAGTGACAGATGGCGCCGGCTGGTTCCAGTCCCCTTCAGCCCAACTGTAACCAGAGCCTAAGTGATTCATGGAGGTCAGCGTGGAGGACAGCGTGTGGCCGAGACGGGCCCGCTTCCTCCATGCGTCCTGGCGAGTGAGGGGCGGGGGGACGCCATCTGGGACAGACGCTGGCTGAGGGGTCGTCAGCTTGGCCTCTGGGCCCACTGTGCCCCTCCCCCGCTGACGGCCCTGGGCAAGTTGTATCCCCTTCGGTGATGGGAGGGGAGGTTGGATGGGAGAGCCGACAAAACGCACCCCAGCACGACAAAAGGGCCAGGCGCCCCTCTGCGCCAACCCCTCTAGCTCTGCAGTCCCCAGCCTTTGTGGCACCAGGGACGAGGGCTCCTATGAGCATCTAATGCCCGGTGGTCTGAGGCGGAGCTGAGGCGGTGATGCTGGCTCTGGGGAGCGGCTGCAAAGACAGATGAAGCTTTGCTCACAAGCCCTCCGCTCGCCTCCTGCTGTGAGGCCCGGTTCCTAACAGGCCATGGAGCGGTCCAGGGGCTTGAGGCCC